AATGACCATAGTCCCTGTGGTAACGACTCTAAGGACCTCCTCTCTGAGCTATATATATCCATTTCTCCTTGGGATTAGGTTTGGCCTCTGGAGGATACCCACCTCGCCTTTCTTCTCAAGCATCTCATACACATCTCTCTAGGGTACGATTAGCGGGGCGTACTGGTAGTACTTGAATTTGAGCTTAGACCGATCATCTGACCTGCTTTTCTTGTTTGCAAACTTTCTCTCGTTGGAGCGCAACTACTCCATTTTCTTGGACTTTGCTTTATCCCTCAGCAGAAAAACTACTTCAGACTTTTCTATGTTAACATAATTGTTACACCTTTCAAGAAGCTCGTCGAAGGACTTTGCTGGCAATTTTTTGCCAGCGAGCCTCTACATGGTCCTGGTTGGATCCTCGAAACAGACCCCAATTCATGTCTTTTCAGAGGCTGATTGGACCTTCACACATAATTTCGTGTAGCGAGCTACGTAATTCTTGAGGGGTCCCTCTTCCTTTTATTGCATGTTAATCAGCGTAAGGTACGTCTTCTCACATTTTTTTTGTGTTGGAGAACTGGTTCATGAACTTCGAGTTGCGTTGTTGGAACGAAGAAACGAATCCTTCGGGAAGCTGGTGAAATCTGTCCTGAGCAGACCCCTAAGGGTAATCACTAAGGCTCTGCAGCTAACCACGTCCTCGTACTTGTGCAGTACTACAATCGGGAGGATTCTGTGGAGCCATTGTAAGACAGACTGAGCTCGCAAAAGTTGCTAGGCAGGACTTCTTCAAGGACTTCCTCTGAAAAGGGGTGACCATGGTCTAGTGGAGTCGTCTTTCCCCTAATCTTGGCATGTAGTTCTTGGACCTGGGCTGCGAGTGCTTCAAATGCCACTTACTGAGACGTCTTCAATGAGACCAAATAAATCCTTCTGGTAGTTGTGCGTGAATTTCCAAATAATTCCCATGAATTGGGCTCCCTGGCCCACCAAAACTCACATATCTCCAAATTTACGTGACTAATGACCAATTATTTTTAATATTCATCTGCCATCTAAGGGCCTTTGATCTTCTTTCACGTTGGGCCTAAGTTGGACTGGTGTGATGCGCCCCGTACTGGCCTTCTCAATTCTCATGGGATGTCACGCCCATGAAAATACTCCAATATCCTAAAAATAAGACATAAAAATATCAAAGTACAAGAATCCATCCAAATAAAGAAATAAGTCGAAAAATATGTAAGTGCAACAAAACTAAGCATATAAAAATACGCTAATAAATATATAAAACACACACTTTTCCGACCAATCACTATCCGTCTAATTTGGATACGCGTTGGTATATATGTGACAATATATTGCACAATTGTTAATCATGCAGTTCATTTGGACATACGATTTTTATATGGCATATCATTTCGTGAGTTTTGTGGTGAAAAATATGTTTTTTGACAAGACAATGTGTAAAAAAAACCATATATATTGGGTATAAAAGAAACATAAATGTTACGGAACCATCGGATGGTTCCCTTATGGAACCATCCATAACTATATGTATTAACACATGTTCAATATGTATTTAATATTTATTGCAATATATGTATCAATACACCATTTGTGGATAACTATGGATGACTCCATAAATCGAATCATCCGATAACTCCATAGCAAAATCGAGAAACCGAAATTGTCCTACAGCTACATGTAAACATCCCTATTGATACCTTTACTAATATGGACTTGTTAGTCTATATAATCTGTTGAAGCGTTCCCCTTTTCTAAAGGGGGACGTAACTCCAACCACTCCAAATATTTCAAAATACATGTCTCCTTTTCTGACCTTTCCTAGTCAAAATAGAATTTTGGGTACACAACTTTCGTGTTTTGTTTTCTTGAACCATCATCCCCCAATTGAATTTGAAGGGTAACATAATTAAAAAGCGACTCACAACATTCAACTGCTAATCCACAATACAATCAAATAGAATCGCACCACATGACTTACAATTTCTCCACTTTATTTCTAACATTATTACAAAAATCCCTAATTTTAGGACCCTTAGGACTTACTTTATACTTGGGTTTTAATATTATCTTTTAGGGCGTAAATTTAGCCAAAATTTTTCAACAATTAGAAAAAAAATATCCCAAGTGGGGAGGAGAAGAAGGTTGAAGTTAATGGGCTCCACGCGGTCCCACATCGAAAGTAGAAAAGGAGATACGTTGATCAACCTAATACTTAAATAATTGTTTTTAAAAGTATACTTTTTTTTTTGTATTTTATTTATTTATTTTTAAACTATATATATATATGTGTGTATAATCTAACGGCTGATATTTACCCACTGAAAAAAAAAAAACCGCGAAAACACGGAGCCGCTCGAACCCAGAGTTGGGAAGCCAGATATTCCCTTCCCATCAATCACTACCACCAATCTCATTAACAAAGGCCGCGTTTGTTTTCAAACGTAGTAAAACGGAATCTTTTTTTTAGTCTTTTTTTTTAATCATTTATTCTTGGTTTTTCTATTAATATTTTAATGAAAAATGTCACGGTCCCGTTATGGGACTATTTTGTCAGGGTTTGTAATTGTTAAATCATCATGTAACTGTCATGTATAGTTGATCTAGCGGTTACAAATCTGACGGAATTGTTCAGTAACAGGACCGTAACATTTTCCTATTTTAATTTTGATTTTTCAACCAAATTTATTGTTAATTGACAAAATAGCCTAAAAATGGGCCTAAGTTGAGGAAGCACGTCAAACGAAAACAAACTACTACGGTAAATTTTTCGATCAAGTAGTGGTACAAAGGTAAAATTCAAACTAATAGACTTTAATTAATTTCAACGATTCATCATTGTTTCCACCCGAGTCGGGGTTTTTATTTTCAAAGTACTTGAAAAGATGAATGTGTATTTAAATCTGTTAGTTGAAATATGTGTATAAAGGGAGATACTACAGTTCTGTTACGGAATCATTCCGTCGAGGTTTGTAACCGTTAGATCAACTATCTCCGACAATTATATGATGATATAATAGTTACAAACTCCGACAAACTCCGACGAAATGGTTCCGTAACAGGACCACAGAATCTCCCGTGTATAAAATAGCATGAAGCATGATAAAAAAGATGGAAAGAATAAAATAAAATAAAACACTATATGCAATAAAAACAACTATGATATGTATTCTTGTTTTAGTAGTACAATAACCGTGTACTACACGTGTACTGGATATGAAAATTATTTTTAAAATTAAATAATAATAACAACAATTGTTTAAAATTAAATATATGTATTTATTAGGCTAGTTTTGAGGTTTTTATAGAAATTATTAAGCCGATTAAGAGCTTCTAAAAGAAATCAAGAATATAATAGTCAATCAATACAATTATCAAATGTTTCAATACAACTTAAAGCTTATATTAGTAAATTATTATGGAATTACCAAGTTAGTTTTCAGTATTTTTGGAATATTGAAACCTAATATTATTGATTTCAAATAATATTATTTTTTATCCAAATCAAAGTACGTATCATGTTTTTTCGCTAAGTAAGATTCCAAAGCGTGCGGGACTAGTACTTAGACTCAACGCATTCTGCAATTATATATAGAGAATAGCTTTAAACGGCTTTAGGGACATGTTAATTCTAAATACCATTTAATAATCTATAAACAGTTTAAAACATATAAATATATAATTAATTAGTAGTTTTTACTAATAATAATATTATATATATACATATATATTTCAGATATGGTGTTCTTCTCACAATGACTTTAGATATAGAAGCGTGGACGGCCTACATTAGGTTTAGGGCCCCAAAAAAATTTTAAAAGATCATTAATTGTACTATATATTTATCGTTTCGGAAAAAAAAAATGTTTACATCTGAATTTGATAAATTATAAATAAAGCACATACTAAAATGTAGACACAAGATGTGAATTTATTAACTATATACATTAAAAAATATTCCAATCTATAACTTGTTTTTAAAGCACTTCCTAATTAACACTTTTAAATAATTATATATATAATCAAACTTAACATTATTTTCATACTCTTGGCTCAATATTTGACAATACTTTTAGTCCTTCACTTAATTAAATTCCCTAACTAATTGTTTAGTTGACGCCATGGAATTTCTGTTGATGATTTTCTTCATCTCTCTATATCTTTTTCTTATCATAAATATTTTATTATTTGATATCTTCATATTTAATCACATGCAAAATAGTGTTTGTTTTCATACAATTTTTTTTATGGACTATGCAAAGCATATATTGTGCTCACACATACACATTAAGATCCTCAAATATTTGAAAATCACGGCGGAAGATTGAACAATGAACATTCATTTAAAAAAAAAAA